TAATTGAGTAGTACGTGAGAATTCGTGTTTACTGTGATGTTTTAGTGCCAGGTCTAAATATGAGAGGTAAAAAGTCAGAGGTAAAAACACCAGAGGTGAAAATGTTAAGAGGTGAAAATATCAGAGGTAAAAAGTCAGAGGTGAAAATGCCAGAGGAATGCCAGAGGAATGCCTGAGGTAAAAATACCTGAGTTAAAAATGTCAGACGTAAATATGCCAGAGGTTCAAATGCCAGTGGTTCAAATGCCAGAGGTAAAAATGCCATGGGTAAAAATGTTGCATAAAGTTCTATGCCCCTCAAAGGAAAAAGCAGATAAAGAAAGTTAAATTATGTGTCACTGCATGACTTTACCTTCATATTTTGCCTGCATTGTGGGCTCCACAACTTTCTGCCAATTGAAGCAGGATATAGTCGCACCCTTTTCCGGTGACACCAGCAAAGTACAGGAGCCGAAAAGTGCCTCCAAATTGTGGAATTTTCTCAGCCTAATTCAGCGATGCATCAGTTGAGACATGCCAGATTCCTACAAAAACACTCAAGCTTTGCACTATTGGTTCTGCGGGGCAATATCCTTCGCCCCTAGTCCCCCTTAATAAAAGGTGACATTTCTGGCTCCAGCCATTTCCCTTCCCCCAAATTAAATTCTGTTGGATAAAATGTCACAATATGCGTGAGATTAGAGCATTTTCCTAGCCAAAAGGCGCTGATTGTTGCGTGTTTCAATTTTACGGGCCGTGGTCTCAGATTCAAGGCAACCCAGTTTTGATGATTTAAAGGTAGTATCGCACAGTTGCTTTGAATCATCAATTCTTATGCAAGACAACAGCAACAACTAAAGTATTGCTGTAGAAAATGCTGATGATTGTTGAATGTTGTAAGTGTACAGGCCATGTCTGGGTTTCAATATTCAATGCTGAAATTATTTAAAACTCCAACATTTTCAGCACCAAAAAATTGTGTCAACTACTACCGATGGCCATTTCCACTACTTACTAATTGTTTTTACCTAGATCATTTGGCAGATATGATTTATGTTGTAGTCTTGAATATTTAGTGAAAGTGTCCTTTACAAGAATTAATTGTCCATCAATACTAGACCTAAGAGTACCTGTAGCCATTAACCTTTAAAAGTAACATTCTGTTTAACTGAAAGCCAGAAGGGTGTTAATACTCATCTAAAGTTGGCTTTTATGTGGCTTGACAAAAGCTCTGGGCCTCGTTTGTTAGAGATATTATAGGGTTGAGGTAAGGAGTAAAATTGGGTTTAATTAAGGATCAGTCTTGGTTTAGATTTAGGAAAAGCTACAGTATCTGTCGAGGGTCGAAGCTTGAGATTCGGTTAGTGTTGGAAATTGACCATTAGTTGGCTGAGAATGTTGTAGAACTGGTCTTTACTGATGATATTGTCTGTTTGGAGCCAGAAGGGTGTTAACTCTTTTCATTTTACACAGAGTTAACACCTTTCTGGCTCTGCATGCACAGGCAATATTACGAATCTGCTTTCTTTAGCTATTAAACCCCCTCTCCACTTATGTTTCTCAAAAAAATGTACCATGAACAACTTGGTACCTTTTGAGTTTTTGAGCGTAACATCTGTTTGGAGCCAAAAGGAAGTTTACTCTTATACTTTAACACAGAGCTTATGGCCTTTAATTGTCACTTAGCATATATTTCTTCATCGCTCCTTTCAGACTTCTCAAATTGTTGACACTACTCTCTAAAAAAAATTGAGTGATCACAGACGTCACTCCTCTGGAGAGTGAAAATGTAGTGAAAATAGAGTGAACATTCACTCTTTTCTTCTTAGAGAGCACTCTAAAATCAATCGATTTTCACTCCTAAACAAGTGATCATGGATGTCACTCCCAAGAAAGTGAAAATAGAGTGAAAATTCACTCTCTTTTTTTTTAAGAGAGTACCTTTAAATCAAAGAGCTTGATTTGAAATTGTTTATCTTCTTTTGAGAATGACAAATTTTGATTTCCCTTCAGACACGTCTTATGGCTAGGGACTTCATGACCTCAAGTAATAGCAATTATCAACTCGTATATCCTTTTAAGATGATTAGGTGAATGAAAAGTGATGATTTTGTTGTAGCAAGCTGACACTGATGTTAAAAGAGTGATGTGGAAACACAGAGAGAACTGAGTAGAAGGATGTATTTCAAAGCTGAAGACACCACAATAAATCACTTTTTTAAAATTTAAGTTGTCCAGTTATACAGTTTGTCAGGTGTTGATTTTAAAAATCAATCAATTGTTAATTTAAAGGCTAAATTGCTTGAGATAAACTGCAAGACAAATCACTCTCGACATATAGACAAGTAAGCGCTTCAATAGTACTTTGGGAATCTAATTCAATGCATGTCTCTTCAGGATGACTTTTTAATAGTAAGATGAAAGAAAAGGAAGGTGAACAAAAAAAGGAAGCCTTTCTTTTTCTACCAATATGCAATACAAATCATGAATACTGGTTGTATAAACCATGAGCATCGCTGAAAAACTTAGAGGATTTTTTCTATTTATAAAAATGCTGAATCATATGCTTGTAATGACTCTTATTATTCCACAGGCATATTAAAATTGATTACTTGTAAAGTTTCCTGAATACATATACTCCATTGCTTGTTTAGGATGTCCTTGATTAAATCTAAAGTGATATTGTTTGCTCCGTGGCTCCATCGTGTTGAAACGTATTTGCCTTTTAATCAAACAAGTCATACATTTGTGAAACAAATGAAATTGGTTCTTTCCCTACTCCCGCACACCCCCCGATGCTAGACGGGCCCCGGCTTCAGCGTGAAGAGCTAATAATATAAGCAAGGATGAAAATGATGACGTTATTTGAACAGCCCCATTATTGGTCCCTAATTCGCTGCGAATTGCCGACCCAGCTAAGGTGGCGAGTATATATATTTAGGCCAGCGCTGCCACAACAAACAGGGCTTGGATGCAGCGTGGAGTGTTTGGATTCTGTAGAGGAGGAATGGGGGAATTGGAATACGAGTGATACGCTTGAGAGAGAGGTGAAGGAGGATGGAGGGAGAGAGAGAGAGAGAGAGAGAGAGAGAGGGGAGGGAGAGAGAGAGAGAGAGAGAGAGAGAGAGAGGGGGAGGATGAAGAGAGAGGGAGGGAGAGAGATAGATAGATAGAGAGGGAGAGAGAGAGAGAGTGAAGAATGAATAAGAGAGGGGAGAAAGAGAGTGATGTAAAGAGATTAGAGAAGGCGAGAAGCAAGAGAGAGAGAGAGAGAGAGAGAGAGAGAGAGGAAGAAGGATGAATACGAGAAGGGAGAAAGAAAGCGATGTATAAAGAGATTAGAGAAGGCGAGGAGAAAGAGAGTGAAAAAGAGTGAGAGAGATAGCGGTTACAGGAAGAAGAAGCAATAGATTGATAGAGAGAGAAAGAGAGACAGAGACAGAGAAAGACAGAGAGAGGGGGGGGGGGGGGGGGGAGGGAGGGAGTTGGGGAATAAAGTAAAAGAGAATGAGAGAAAAAAATACCTCAGATTAATCTAAAGATTGGGAAGTAGAGAAAAGGATGAACTGAAAAAGGTAGCAGAAGAAAGAGAAAGAGACAGAATGAAAAAGATTGAGATAATATTAGGGAAGTCAGAAAAAGAGAAGGGGCAACAATAACCAGGATGGGAAAGAAGGAGGAATATGATAATGCTGTAATGCATAGGAGGAATCTTCATGTATATTTGATAGAAGCATATATAATTTAAATTAAAATGTTAACATGTGAACAGGAAAAATTCATCAGAAAATGGTAATTCTGTGACCTGCGTGAAATATGCTGAAAAGCTAAATATTGATTCATAGATGGTTAATTTAAATAAAAATGTTAACGTGTGAACAGGAAAAATTCATCAGAAAATGGTAATTCTGCGCCCTGCATGAAAGATGCTGAGAAGCTAAATATTGATTCAAAGATGGTCTAGCTAATAATATAGAACCAAGGAAAAGTAATTGCATGTTTTCAGTTTCAGTTGCAATATTGCACTCTGAAGACAGTATCTTTTACATCTGTATGTCAGAAGTCTCATGACACTGTAACTGATAATTCTCATGAAATGATTGCAAAAGGAATCCCCCCCCCCACCCCCACAAAAGTGAATATAATAGCGCTCATTCTTTGCACCCGAAGGGGAGAACAATCGCAACTTTCACCTTTCGCCTTGTAAAATGATATGACAAATATTGAGAGAGAGGGATGGACGAGAGTGAGCAAGGAGTTAGGGCAAACAGCCCGGGGTTCTCAGAGGGATGGTTGTAATTCGATGAGAATGCAGCTGGCCTGATTTTTATATGACAAACTCCCGTCACACGATGAAGGCTTGTCTTGAAGGTGATTCAGAGGACCTTTGAAAACAAAGTAGAACCCTTGCGAAATAAAGAAATTATGCCACATGTCAAGAGAAAGCCAATGAATTTCTGTAAAAGCCAACAATTTTGTAGATATTTTCACAGAAGACGGAGACACAAATAGTAATCATTGGAATTAGAATTCATAATGTTTGGGTATGCAGTGTCAACTCATTTTCATGTGTTGATAAGTTCATGTCCCTCACAAATTAAAAACCCCTTGCAAAGTTACAGCTTATACAACACTTCAAATGTATCTGAAAAACAAATTTGATCCACAATGTGTAATACTGGGTTATGAGCAGCTGGGGCAAGATGAATTTATAACACTTTTTTTGTCATGGCATCGGCATGGAGGAACATTTTCTATAATATGTCAAATAAAGAGTTTCATTTTCTATAATTTTGAATGAGTTAAAAAGATGTTCATGCATGGGTATATAGTCGATCGTGAGGTAGGCAACTTGGCGATCACTACATAACACTGAGCCAACGGGTATTACGCTCCTGTGCTGCCCTATATGTACCCATGCATGAGCAACTTTAAGAATTAATTGAGATAGCATATAGTTTTCATATTTAACATGTAGTTTGGATATGAAGTACAAATAAACACTTAATTCCTCTTCTTATTCTCCTCTTGCAGATGTCTTTCGTTCAGCGGCAGAGGCGGGACCTAACGACATTCTTAAACTTTACAACCAGAAAGGAAACCTGGTCAACATCTCGCCGAAATTGGAAGAAAATACGCCGGACTCTAGATATAAACTAGATGTGGTAGCCGCTCACTGCGACGGTAGGAGTACGTGTGCCTGTCGTTCTTGCATTTATTTTTATCTACTTTCGCTTTTCCATTGTCTTTTTTTGCTGCTTTACAGTTACCAGTACTACTTCTACTACTACTACTACTACAACTATCATAACTCTGACTCCTGTACTACTACTACTACTACTACTACTACTACTGCTACTACTACTACTTACACCACCACTACTACTACTACTACTAACATCACTACTACTACTACTACTACTACTACTACTACTACTACTACTACTACTACTACTACCACTACTACTACTACTACTATTACTACTACTGTTACTTCTACTACTACTACTACTACTACTACTACTACTACTACTACTATTTCTACTACTGCTGCTGCTGCTACTACTACTACTACTACTACTACTACTACTACTACTACTACTACTACTACATGTACTCATACGACTACTACTACTACTGCTACTACTACTACTATGTCTATGTCTACTACCACCACTACTACTTCTAACACCACTGCTACTACTACTACTACTAACACTCCTACTACTACTACTTCTACTACTACTGTTACTTCTACTACTACTACTACTATTTCTACTACTACTACTGCTGCTGCTACTACTACTACTACTACTACTACTACTACTCCTACTACTACTACTACTACTACTACTACTGCTACTACTACTATGTCTACATCTACTACCACCACTACTACTTCTAACACCACTACTACTACTACTACTACTACTACTACTACTACTACTATAACTACCACTATTACTACTACTACTACTACTAATATTACTACAACTACTTCTACTACCACTACTACTACTTCTACTACTACTACTACAACTACTACTACTACTACTACTACTACTAACACCCCTGCTACTACCACTAGTACTATTACTACTACTACTTCTACTACTTCTACTACTTCTACTACTTCTACTACTTCTACTACCACTACATCAGTAAATTACACAACAGCAACCACTCCCCCATGTCTTGTTCAATTTTACTGTTGTTTCACATCTAACAAAGATCATTGTATTCATCCCAGCTGTTTACACCTTATTGTTGTTTATGTTCCTTGTGAAGTCTGTTTCTTAGCTGGTTAAAGCAATCAAAATGTAAGATTTTCTTATTTTTGTACAAATTTTTTAACTATTCATGTGCCAACATAGACTGTTGCATAATTCTCAAAAATTTGCATAATCCTGGAATAGATTTTTGTGAAAGACTTTTACATATTGTGCCAAAACTTTTTAAAGGAGAATTATGATCTTGTATGCAAAATTACAATTTAAAAAATTGGCAAAGTCTGATTTAGGTTCTGTGCGAGCCCATGCTTCATCAGTTCCATGGAATAAATTACCACAACCTCTTCAGGATATAGCAACTGTAAACTCATTCTTAAAACTCACTTGTTCAAAACCGCTTTTGATTTATTCAATATTTCCACATTTCATATCTATCATCCATCTATATTTCCTTAATGTTTATTTATGTCAACTCATTTTTTGATGTACTCTGTTTTAATCTTAGTTATATTGTTCATGTACTCTGTATTGCAATTTACATCTAATTATAGTTTACATTTTTTAATGCATATTCTCATTGCCTTGAGAATTTCTGTGAAATGGATATGGTGTTTTACAAAAAGTCATTATTTAACATGATATATTTTTAATAGTGCCCCAAGGACACACATTTTGGAACAAAAACAGAAATTAATGATATTTTTGTTACAACAAACATCACAATCTACTTACCAAATTTCCACTATGAGATTCACATAGATTTGATGATCTCATATTTCAAACATTCATATCTCTCTTATTATTGGTCCGATTTATTTCAAACTTTCGCCATTCGTTTCATCTTTATAATTGTCTGCTTTCATACAAATGAACTTATCACAATGGTTGGATTGCCCTTCAAGGAAACAAAATGGTCCCTGGAATTCAGTTTAGGTGAATGAGATGAATCAGTAGCCAATGGGTTAAACTCAAAGCTCTCTACCGGCCTTTCTCCTTCTCTCTCTTTACCAAGGAAAAATGTCAGTTGTATTAACTATACTTTTGTCTATTTTTGCCAACAGGAAGTGTAGCGGAGAAGCTGGGCTTTGATATACAAAAGATGGAATCAAGGTAAGATAGGAATAAAAGAAAGTATTAAAACTACTTGGAAAAAGTTTTTTGCATTGTATTAGAACCTGATTGCTACCCTAACTCTAACCCTATATTTGATAAATAAACCTGGAATACAATGGTCAATTGATAATGTTGTTGGAGCACCTTCTCATGATATTGGACTAGTTAATGTTTATGGTAGATTTCACTTTTTTTTTCCTTTTCTTTTCGTGTGATATCCATTAGGATATGTCACTGATATACAAGTAATAATCCTGTTTCATAAGCTTATCATACATTTACATGTAGTTTTAATGTGTGAGAAATTCACCAAGAGCAGAACATGCACAGATCGTCAACGATCGTATTTGAGGGAGTCGATACACTCGGAAAGCGAGCTTCATGGGTACATAGATCAGGCCAGCCGGTCGCAAACAAAGCTCATGTTTACCTCCGAAGAAAGGAAGGAGGTTACACAATCCAAGGGCGGCACACTCACAGAGAGATCCAGGATTCTCTAACGGTGTGGGATGGGGGGGGGGGGGCACAATTTTAAAAGGGCTAATATTATTAAGGTGACTTTTTAGGCCCAAACTTAAAAAAGACAGCACAAGATAACAATGGAGGAGGCCACTTATTATTTTTGTTAACTGCTTTAAGGTTTACCACACAATATGCCTTATTCATCAGAAGGGCATGGCACAACCCCCCCCCCCCCCCCCCACAAAAAAAAGGTTTTAATTTTTTAGGTGACTTTTAGGGGGTTCTTACATTGAAAGGAGGCAAAAGAACACAGTTGGGTGGGGGAAGGGACATATTTTTTTTTATTCTGTTCATAAAATTTGCCAGGTTGAGTTTTAAAAGAAGATACCCCCCCCCCTCCAGCCCTGTGCCTTCCTGATCTGCCTCTGAGCATGCTAAATTATGAGAGTATGCAAACGGGGCGTCGTCGCAACGAAACATTTCATTCCCGTCCTGTCCAGGGTTCCGTTAGCTAACATTTACCCGACACAGTTCCGTGTATCATCTTTCCACCACTCCACTAGTTTCCACTTCTCCCCGAGGACCTTTTCTTTATTCAGTTTTGAATGCCTGCTACCTTGAAAATTTTGTTATAAACAAAATGGAAACTCCAAGGGGCATGTTGGCTATTTATATATTTTCTTCAGTTCTTATTGAAATATGGTTAATGTGTTTTAACTTGATAACTTTGATCATGAAATGTCTGCAGTGGAAGATCAGGTATTAAAGTGACTCGGTAACATTGCCTCAGATTCTGAAACAAAATCCTGCATTTAGCTCATGCTACAATCATAATGATAAACCTTTAGGTCAGTCAGGAACCCCATGACTTTTACAAGCCGATTGCCTGTCTGATTATGAAAATATTTATGATTGGAAATCAAAATTTCCAAATTTGTTTTGCTCACGATTTTTTATAGCACTACAGTCTATTGGGGAAAATGAGTATGGTAAAACCGGTCACTGAAAGATTTGCACTTTTTTGAGGCACTTCATGATCAAGCGCAAATTGTTTAGGGCTTCAATATTACACCATAACACATAACACGTAGGGCCATGCATCTCAAATTTACATTGTTAAACGATCCTTTAAGAAAGCTTTTTAAGAGTTGCAGTGAAGTTGTTTTTAGATTGAATGAATAATGATAACAAAATTGATTATACTGCTTTTCATATGGTGGGTTCAAAATGAGTTCCTCTCAGCATCGCACCTGAAAGATATCATAATATGCAGATTGATTACAGCATGGTCAGCGAAACTGAAATATTTCATTCCAAATCCAGATAAGAGAGAACAGGACATTTAAAACTCAATGTTGCAACCCAGAAGGGCATGAATTCTGTGTCAAATATTTTTCTGGCTGTCTGAGAACAAAATCTATGGGTGCTCTGGCTTCATTCTAGATGTATTTGAATGTTCTTTCTTTTTACTTTCAATGTCTGAAATAAGTTAAGAGTATGAACCAGAATACACATTCTCTGGAAAGCTCCATTTGTAAAAACATTTTTTTTTTTATCTCTGTCGATCATAGGCCTATACAATAAAATTGAAACACTATTATATGATGAATCAATTGAAACTAATAGAGATTTGAACATGATTGGAATAACAAAGTAAATCTATTCAGAGGCAGCGTTCATTGACATTTTCATGGCTATCGATCTCACCATCTTGACAGTCAGTTTTGCAATTACTGCTTACGGGCATTGTTACGTCCGCAAAACCAAACATTGTGTAGATTTCCCAATGACGGAATTTAATTCTCGTTCAGGTCACGCATGATGAGGCGTAACCGAAGACATCGTGCACTTTGCGAGCTCGTGTAATTCGAAACAATTGTATGTCTTTCAAAGCTTGTAAAAACATATCAGCATGACAGTCACATACGCAAGAACATGCACGTGGGACTGCTGCTGACGCCCGCACGTTTCGTTGAGTCAGTAAAAGGCCCAACCATCACGAGCGGCTGTTTAGGAACGATGGCAAGGGAGTTGTCGAATGTCACTCAAGATCTGTTTAGATTTGTCAGGGGCAAACAAGGAAAGGTTATTTCTTGGGCGTGAGTCAGATGCAGAATTAAAATCCAGAAAATTATGGATTGAATAATTTTTTGTCTTCAGTAACATATGGAAACATAATGACAAAGCGAAGGGCCAGCTTTGATATATCTTATTTGTGATTTTTGTTTATGCAGGAATTTTGTTGTTGTTGTTTGTTTGAGAAGGGGGATTCATTATGGGTAATTGAGATAGAGAGAGAGAGAGAGAGAGAGAGAGAGAGAAAGAGAGAGAGAGAGAAATAGAGAGTGAGAGGGAATGAGAGAAATTTAATTTACCAGTGATGTTATGCATCTTATGTTCACCTATTATGCTCGCAAGGTTACAAGAGTCTTTAGTATGCAGTGCCTGCTTGACCGCATTGATTGTTCGTTCCAACTTGAATCCTTCTGCGACCCTCACTCTTTATTAAGCATCCAATCCACATGAGATGAAATAAAGAGGATTAAAGGCCCTTCTTTCAGGCTGGGTAAGGTTTATTAGAGATGTGGTGATTGTCGTTATTAATGAAAATCTCAGACGATCGGCCGTGACATTTGGAAGGTTGAATCTTACGAAAGGTTGATAAAGCCGGGAGATTACTCAAGCGTTTATTGCGAAACATCTCAACCAAGGTTGTCAAATATGCAATGGGTATTGCAAAAAATGCTGGTAGTATTAAACAAACGGTAGCTGTCTTGAATTCATGATGAATTAATTTAGAGAAAAACATGCTGTATTGAACCTCCTGTTTATTTGGAATTTATTCAAATTTCACAGTATTTATGATTCATTTGGAAGAGTTCAATGTCATCTTGTTGATATATCATACATTTTTTTATAGCAGCAGTTATACCTATACCGGGCTTTGATGCAAAATTGAATCAAAGTTCTATATTTTAAGTGGATGTACATGTATATATGGCCATTTTATGTGTTATTTAGAAATACATTTTGATGAAGCAAATATACATTAGCTAACAAAATCAGTACCGGTATGCATATATATCTTTAATCTACACAAAATTGTTGATTATTTCTTGGAAAGTCAGTATTTAGTTCCTATGCATCGTTTATTGGGAACCAGACAGGCGTTAATTCTGTGCTAACATATACATTTATGGGTTAACGCCCTTCTGTCTCCAAACAGATTACATGCAGTTAATAGAAGGGGGTTGTATATGGTACAGTTCATTTTATTCTACATACCACTTTATCTATACAATTCTCTGTTTGTTGCATTTTTTCACCCTCAGGTTGGAATTGTTAGAGAAGAAGGTGCTGATTGACGGGGGCGAGATCCCTACTGTCGTATACGAACTCCGCAATAAAGTAGAAGAATTCAGGGACAAACTTGAGGTAGGTCGTCTTCAAATTGGCAACAGGATTCAGAGCAATATCATTGTTTTCCCATAGAAAACATGTCTACTTAATATAAAGTTCAATTGCTATACAAATACATTACTGTGCTTAAAACAGAGTATCATATCATTTCCCAGGCTTTAGCCAAGCCACAAGGTGCTACAGCATTCAAGTAATGTCTTCATACCTGGGGGGGGGGGGGGTGTTTCATGAAGATGTGCGTAAAGTTATGCATGACTTTACGAACGACTTGTATATGAAAAGCCAAATGGGATGCTCACCCATCACTCCCATAAAAGGACTCGAACCACGAGTCATCGGATCCTCGGTCAAGTGACATAACCACTCGACCATAATTAACACCTCTAAGTAAAAATAATAACATTGCCAAGAGGAGAATCTGATCCATTAATTCTTGATCAAAACTCATCCATTTTTCCAATCGAGTTAATTCTCTCAGCTCAAGCATTCAAAATGATGCCCCAGATACAGGAGTGGTGCGTTGGGCCAGCGCTCTGCACTCTATCCACCCTCAGCTTCCTCCTTCCTTTCTCTCTCTTTCCCTAGGGTGTCCGAACCAGGCCACCAAGATTTATAACCTGTCAATGTGCTGCCAATTTCAATTTTTAAAATCAAAAGAAAAATAGAGAATAAAAAAATACCCTGGAGACTCACTGTTATCTGTATCTGCTATCTATCTCTCTCTCTTTCTCTCACCGTTACGAAGTCGATTTATCTAATCAAAATCAAAGCTATCGTAAGTGCTCTGTATTCGTTGCATATATATATATATATATGCCTGTTTGCACTTATGAGGTGCAAGGTGTATGAATACTGCATCACTCGTTGAAATTAAAATTCTTTAAGGATTGCATTATTGATGGGTTTTGCAGCGTTTTTGTCGCACAGCGTTTGGCAGAGTGATGGCGGAGTGATCGGATGTCAAAAATGAAGCAATTCCCTGGGCCCTATTTATCTTCGTCTGCGTCTAACCAGGGTTGTATAAAAAATCTCTGAATGATTTATGACGAAGCGTCTCTTATTACCAAGCGAATGCGGGCAAATTGGCAACGCAGGCACGAGTGAATTAGGGACAATCAAAATTGACGTTGTTACCTTTCTGCATGAATCAACTTATCAAATAAATTAGGAAATTTTAGCCCGAGGGTAGAAGCTTTTTTTCCTCCACGTTGCGTAAAGACAGGATGATGCAGATTCCTCATCGGGGCACTTGTCCCGATTTGGGGCAAGCGATTGAGCTATAGCTCCCAGGACAAGCATTTTAAAGTTTTTACAGGATTCATAGATATGTAGCATAAAGTGTATCCAGAGAAAGAGATTGGATGGGGGCCCATGGAAATACATGAGAGCAGAAAGCAATTAGCCCTTAAAGAGCAAACAAAAAGACATCTGATGAAAAAGTATATGACTAACAAAGATTACCCCAATATGGTCAAGTGGTAGGGACCAGGGCTCTTGCCACTGATGGGGGAAGGGGGTGGGGTATACCCCTTTCAGACACACACAGTTGAGTATCCTAAGAATATTGGTTTCATGTAGCACCTCCCCTCTTCAAAATCTCTCCTCTTCTCTGTTAAGAAATTCCCTCTATGATATTTTAATGGATATTCCTTTTAGTTATTCTTGTGTGATGATTTCACAATTATCATTATTCAGTTGCAGACCAATAAACTTTTGAGTCAGAAGAAGAAGAATAAATTTGGTTGCTAAACCTTGTTTGTTCCCTTTTATTAAACTGATTTCATAGTAAGACTTAATATCTCATGAAGATATGAGAAGTACCTGATATTGTTATTTGGGTTTTTTAATGCTTTCCAATTTTTCCAATCTATTTGTTCTCTTTAAATTTTCAGTTGTGGTAGCTTAGTAAGGACTTTATATATTCCTGTAACTTCTTGCAAAAGAGGCTTTTGCCAATTTATTCTGAATTTAATTTACAGGTTTCCAAGGATTATAGCCCCCTCCCCAGCTGATACTGCTATGGTTTGTGAATTATTTTGTTGTGGGGGATCCTCTCCCCATGGAAATTTTCACAAAGTTGATTTTGTAATTGTTTGTCTTGAAGAAAAAAATTGTTTATGAATTATTTCACAGGTGCAGGGAACTTCTTCACGTATAGTGATTGTTCAAAATAATTTGAAGTTGATTTGTATTTTTCTGCTGTTTTCACTGTTTGGTTTATAATGGGTGCACATTATTTTGGTTAGAATTGTTTGTGAATTATTGAAGTTGATTTCTATAATTTTTTGTTTTGACACTTTTAATTTAATGTTTATCATTATGTTTAACATTTCCGTTAATTACAGCTCACAACAATCCATTCATGTACATACATGTATATAACATTTCATTGATTAAACTGATTGATAAGCTATGGATAATGAGGATCAAATCAAATCAAAGTATTATAGTTTTTTTTTTCATGTCATTTGCTCAGAGCCAGAAAGATGTTAAGTCCTATTGTTAATTTTGGTTCAACATTGTAACATTTTTTTCTAAAATTTGTAAGAATTTGTTTACGCTCTTATTAGTTGAAGTATGCTGACTTCCCTGTAAACAGTAATATAACCAACAAATATATTCTACTTGTATGTTTTATATACATGCATTCAATGTTTATTTAGATGTGTGTTATGTATTCTTTGATAAGATTAATGGAATTGAATTGAATTTATTTTCTGCAGAGTGTGGAGCATCTAAGCTGGTTAGGTCTTACAAAGGAGTTCGTTGCCAGCTCTACAAACCATTTGCCTTTCTACAAACAAAAACTCAGGAAGACGCAGGAAGAGCAGAAAAGAGTCTGGGAGAAATTCAGCAAAATCTCGTGAGTGGCATTTCTTGTACCAAAGCACTGCATGTATTACACCTTGAGCCACTTTTATTACACCCTTAACACCCTTAACCATAGCACTGCATATATAACCCCATAGCACCACACCTATTACCCCTATACCACAACCATTACCTCTTTAACAGTGCAACTATTACCCCTATAGTACCACAAATATTACATCCATAGCACCACAACTATTAATTACCCCCATAGCACCACAACTATTAACCCCATAGCACCACAACTCTTACCCCTATAATACCCTAAATATTACCCCTATACCACCACAACTATTACCCCCATAGCACCACAACTATTAACCCCATAGCACCACATATATTACTATACCCCATAGCCCCACAGTTTTTCACCCACAGCACCACAACTAACAACTTTTACCCCTATAGCACCACAACTATTACTCCTATAGCATCACAACAATCACCCCATAGCACTACAACTATGACCCCCATTGCACTGAATTCATGACCCCTATAGCACCACAACTATTACCTCTCTAGCACTGCATCTGTTACCCCCTATCACTGCATCTGTTCCCCAATAGCATTTTATCTTTTACTCATAGCTTTGCTACTTAAATACTTTGTTACATTTTCATTGGATATTGTCTGCTGAGAGTCAGAGAAACATGCAAATTAAATTTTGAATTAACATCCTTCTGGCTCTGAGCAGACAGTATCATATTGTTTTCCCTACATATATACCATTGCCTTCACACAAGTTCCTATGCACTTTCACATCATTCCTTATGTACCTATTCACATATTACTCTTTAAATATCCTATACACTTCATGCACCTTCATGTATACCATTCTCATACCCTTGCATCAATCCCAATGCATTTCACATAGTTTCTTATGCACTTTCTGTCATTGTATATGCTTTACCACATGTATACTTGCCTTCACATACGTTCTTATGCACTTCACACACGTTCTTATGCACTTCACACCATTCTTTATGTACCTATTTACATAAAACCTTATACTCTTCAAGTATCCTATACACTTCATGCACCTTCATGTATACCCTTCTCATACCCTTGCATCAATCCCTATGCATTCCACATAGATTCTTATGCACTTTATGTCATTGTATATGCTTTACCACACTTCCTATATACTCTAAACCACTGTTTGTAATTGTACTCAATCCTTATACAAATCGGGTAGCATTCCTATCAATTCTTTTAATATGATGAACCCTTTGTATCATTATGTTACCTAACCTCATTTTACCTTATTTCAATTATCTCTAATTTCAGAAGTTCATTGCATCATTTCTTATACATTTCTGTAAAAAGAGCATCTTTTACCACTTTTTGTTGTTGTATATGATTAGCCACTTCAGGTATCAACAGATACGTTGTTGACAGCTGGTCACATCAGCACCCCCTGTGAGGAGAGTCCCTAGTAGGCCAATCACATTGGTTCACTACTCCATCTCTCAAACAATTCTTTTGTACTCATGGATAAATCTTCTTCTTTTTCTTCTTCTTTTTTTTTTTTTTTTTTTTTTTCTTTATCATCAATCATCATCATCTTCATCATCATCATCATCTTCTTCTTCGTCGTCACATTCTTCTTCTTTTTCTTCTTCTTTTTTTTTCTTCATCATCATCATCTTCATCATCATCATCTTCTTCTTCGTCGTCATCTTCTTCTTCTTCTTCTTTTTCTTCTTTTTTTTCTTCATCATCATCATCTTCATCATCTTCTTCTTTGTCGTCATCTTCTTCTTCTTCTTTTTCTTCTTCTTTTTTTTTTCTTCATCATCATCATCTTCATTATCATCATCATCATCTTCTTCTTCGTCGTCATCTTCTTCTTCTTTTTCTTCTTCTTTTTTTTTCTTCATCATCATCATCATCATCATCTTCATCATCATCATCATCTTCTTCTTTGTCGTCATCTTCTTCTTTGTCGTCTTCTTCTTCTTCTTTTTCTTTTTCTTTTTCTTGTTCTTATTATTCATCATCATCATCATCTTCGTCCTTTCATCTTTTTTATCTTCTTCTTTTTCTTCTTCTGCATTGTCATCACTTTCTTCTTCTTTTGCCTCACCACTACAACACACATTTCTGAATAGCATTTTTTAAATTTGAAATTTGGTGTAAAATTCAAGAGAGGCAATATTATTTAAAATCTAGAAGCATCTATCCTGTACCTGGCAATCAAAAGAAAAAAAGAGAGAGAAAGAAAGAGATATCTGTGGACAGGAAACAGGATGCAACGTTGAATTGTCAAATATCCTCGCTTGACAGAGCATTGTGGGTAATTGAGTCAGTCATGGATACGCAGTTGCAATCAGACTGTAAGCTAACGCACCGGAGTAACAGACCGCGGCTTTATCGTTCAAGGTAGCAATATTATTCCAAGGCACGTCCATCGGTCCCTCTATCAGGGGGGAATTGCGAACGAGTTGTCACTAGGAGGAGAAACAATTTCACGCTTGCCAAATAGAGCTTGGTTTGCAAGCAAACGGCTCTCCCTGAATTAAAAAGATGATGTTAGCTTAGATACAATGTATGTTCATCTGCTGTCATTGATTTGTGTATGTTGTAGAATGACATCATATGAATGGCTTTCCGAATGGCTTTCTGCAGACAGTATGTAATCAAGTATCTACGACTTAGAGCCAGAAGGGCATTAATGCTATTAAAGGATAGGAAATAATGCCTTTCTGGCTTTCGAATGCCTATGATTACAATTGTCTTCTACAAGCCATAAGGGTGTTACACTATGAACATGACTGCCAAAGAAAGAGGACAAAATATACAGTTCCTCAGGTAGACAAAGGAACATCCCTTCACTGCTATTATGTAAAAATGTGTAGAACCGGTGTCACATGCATATTCACCTTTTTACATAATAGCAGTGAAGGGATGTTCCTTTGTCTACCTGAGGAACTGTTTATTTTGTCCGCTTTCTTTGTCCATCATATTCATAGTGTTAGCTTAATTCAATCCGTATGAAGTTAATGCCTTTCTGGCTTTCAAAACAGGATTACCTGTTAACTAAAGTTATGATCTGCAGGGCTTCAATACGTCTGTTTGAAGTCAAAAGGGTGTTAACCCTGTGTAAAAGTATAGGAAGCCTCCTGGCTCTAAACAGACAAACAGTTGTCTTGTTGTTTGGTTTTAAGCACATTAACCCATATCATCCAGTGTTGAGTTCAAGCCAATATTCAGCTCTGGCATGGGAAATACAGTTCCAGTGAAACTGATTTGAATAATGGTCTTGAATAGTCTTATCATGAATTAGAGGGATATTTGAACCAGTGTGCTATTCATTTACATTTCCAAAGAGAAGGAAAGTTTTACAGTAGACAAAATTGCCACATCATAGAATAGAGAGGAACACAAAAATCGAGAGAAATGGAAATGAAATTTGAATTTGAATTTAAAGAGAAGTATACATGAACAAACCTAGCACAGGTTTAAGCTCGAGTTGATTTTCTTCCTTTCATTTACTGAGGTGAGTCATCGATACAATAACTTGTCTGATTGGGAGAGTTGTGTTTTTCTTTTCCCCAAAATTTAGCAGGCACTTGCAGCTGACTGACGATATCAGGGAGTACCTGAGGCAACCCACGTTTGATAACTGGCAGTGGGAGGATGCGGAGATGATGCTCTTACTCCAACAGATGTACATAGACTTGGACTTCATCGCAAAGTTTAACATTGAGGTACTGCTTCAGACTTGCCTCTGCAGGGGACCTACGTGTAGCTTACCAAATGTTGTTCTCCCTGTCTTCACACTTTCAGTTTTAGATATGAAATCTTTAAAGAAATTTGGCAAAATTGTATTCTGGATAGAGGTATAATATAATAAGGGTTCCAACTGTTCTGAAAATCATGGAAAAACCTGGAGAATGAGTCACTTTTTTGTTTATATGTGGAAAAGTTCAGAATATCAGGGAGTTTTACTGTGCCAGAAAGTAAGTAGGTCAGTCTCTTATAAATATGATTGTGTCCAAACATTTTGATCTACTGAATGATTGGCTTTTGTGAATAAAATGCCTCCTTTGATGATCCTGGAATTTCTAAATAACATCATAGAAAAAAATCATTAAATTTTCTCTCATGAAATGTTCGGAACCCTGCATAGTGTTCTTCTGTAGAGTAGGTTGGTGTCAAAATGTTCCCTCAAAAAATATCACCTTTGAGATCTTGACTGCTGCTATCAAAATGAATGATGATTGATTGAGATGTTTCATTTTCCATTGTCTAACCTTTGTGTCTGTTTATTCTCTTCAGATGCCCATTCTTCAGAACTTTCTCTTTGAGGTCTTCAGGCATTACAACAACGTACCATTCCACAACTTCAAGCATTGCTTCTGTGTTTCACAAATGGTAAGCTTTCAAAACCAGTCCAAACTAGTTCTCTATAAAGTTGTGTGGCTTTGATGTATTGCATCATCTGGAGTATTATTTCAAAACAGTCAAATTCTGTTGAATTCCATTAATCTTGTCTAATTAATATACATGTGTATTGCCATCCATATTTATCCAGTACAATCCAGATTAAATCGCTTTCAACTAGTTCAAACTGATCCTCTGCTAATTTAAATTATATTGTGTATTTCTTGTTTGTTGTAGACATGTGTCATATCACCTGAATAGTTAGTTTATTCAGGAAAATCTAGTTTAAACCAGCCCAAACCAGTTCAAACTGTTTTTCTCCACATTAATGATACTATGTGTTTTTGTTTGTATTAGATGTATGGCATCATCTGGAGGGTAGACCTTCCCAAGCTCATAGGCCATCAGGAATGTTTGGTGATGATCACCTCAGCGATATGTCATGACCTGGATCATCCTGGCTATAACAATGCCTACCAGGTAAGCACCCATCCAGACACGTACCCCTGCCCCTTTGCTCTCCTTGCCCTCCCCCTCCCTCTCCCTCTCCCTCTCCCTCTCCCCCTCTTCCCCTCCCTCTCCCTCTCCCCCTCCCCCTCCCTCTCCCTCTCCCTCTCCCTCTCCCTCTCTCTCTCTCTCTCTCTCTCTCTCTCTCTCTCTCTCTCTCTCTCTCTCTGTTTCTTTTCTCTGTCTGATTCTTTTTCTCTGGATCGTCCTGGGTACAACAATGCCTATCATGTAAACCTCCCTCCAGGCCCTTACCCCCTGCCCTTCTCTCAGTCTCCCTCTTTTTCACTTTCTCCATCTCTGTCTCCTTCCCTCTCTCTCTTTGTCTGCTCCTGTCTCTTTTCCACTTTCTCTGTCTGTCTCTCTCTGTCTTTCTCTCTTTGTCTGCCCCTGTCTCTGTGCCTCTTTCTCTGGATCATCCTGGTCAAAACAATGCCCAACAGGTAAGCCCTCATCCAGATATGTATCCCTTCTCAATATCTCTCTCTTTTTCTCTGTATTTCTTTTCCTTTCTCTGTCTCTCTTTCCCTTTCCCTGGATCATCCGGGCTAAAAACTGGCCTTCCAGGTAAGATTCCCTCCGGACATATAACCTTGCCCCTCGCTGTCTCTCTCTCTGTATCATTCTTCCTCTTTCTCTCTCTCTGTTTCTTTTTCTCAGGCTATCTTTCTCTGGATCAACCAGGGTATAACAACGTCTATCATGTCAATCTTTGTTCAGGCCGTTCCCCTTACCCTCCCCCCTCTCAATCTCTCCTCTTTTATTTACTCCCCCAGTTTCTGTCTCTCCCAATCATTTAATTAATCCTGAATATTGGTTATTCCAACCTGTTTGAGATAAAGAACCACATAACACTTTCTTGAGAATATTTGAAATTGGGTGTATATATATTCATCATCATATCAAAATGTGCACCCCTTTCATATGATAGATAGATACAATGAAGAAAGGCATCATTTTTTGTTTGTTTACAGTGTACTGTATAATTCTTTCTAAATATCATCTTTTGCCTGTACAGAACACTTAAAATAGCAAGAGAAAAGACTTGCCAGTAGGACAGAAAGTTCCACTCTTTTCATTTATAAAAAAACATCAGCCTGCAAGCATTACCAATAATTGAAGAGAGTGCATGAGCTCACATGCAATTATGTTGAGTAATTCTGTTGGGGAGACAGGGTGAGAAGGGACTGTACAATCCCCTAATGGATTACGTTTGTATTAAATTGATTAATTTTGCATCATTTTCATCAAATTAAATCTATGTTTGCATGAATTAGACAGCCTCGAGCAAAACAATGCCGTTGGTTTGCGGACCGTGGTGAGGTAGGTGCCAATTTGGCGTGATGATCAAAGCAGCACGTTGGAAGCTGATGAAAAATTGATTATCTTGATCTTCAGAGCATGGATAAAGTCATTAGCCTAATAGCTTGATAGGTTTTTTGTAAAGGTTATGTGGGGAAGGTTCGTGATGCAGAATGGTGTTGAATGCATCAGATCGCCGCTTGTTTTTATGATGACAGTTGGTTGGTTGGTGTTGATGACTTAATTAATAGACCATTGACCGTTGAAGTGTCAGTGTTGGAAGTTGCAACTGCCGCCTATGATAAGTACTCAACATGTTGTGGTCTAGTTAGAAGAGTTTGGGGGTGTTTCACAAAGATCATAAATCAAACTTAACCTTAAGTATGACTTAAAAATGATGGAGAGCCATTTGTAGCCTTAAAGTAAAATATATTCAAAAGCGAAAATTCTAGTATTTTAGACTTTTTATAAATTCCACATCAAGAACATGAAATCTCCTCGATAATAGAAAATATGAATGATTTGAATCAACATTCTATGCCTTTTAGAATAATTTGTACAAACAAAATTCTTAGAAGCTAATGGCTTTCCATAATTGTTAATTCCAACTTAGAGATAAGTTCAACCAAGGATCTTTGTGAAACACCCACCAGGTCCTTCTTCCATTAATTCAAAACAGGGTGTTCATGGGTTATGGTAGTAGATCAAAGGAAGATTTTTTTTCAAGTTTGCATGAATTACATTTTATTTGTGTAACCTTTGCCTACAGAAACTTTGTCGCTCCTATTTTATGGTTTAGGAAGAATCATTTCAGTAATCAAAGTTTTAAATATAAGTCTGAAAAACCTATTAAAGAAGCCCATGTTAATTTGTTTCCTGATGAAAATGAAACTGTCTCCAAAGGGTAGACAGAAAGGATACCATCAATGTGATGATAAAAATGCATACCGGGTAACTCAAAAATTTCCATGAGACTAAAAAAACAAAATTGCCTAAAAAAAAACTTGAGCATTGACAACTTTCTTTTTCAACAATTACCTGTTGCATTACTTTTACAAGCTTGGGTTTACATAGTTCCATCAGGTACAACAAATTGCTCCTTTGCTACAGAATTATGAACAGAATTGCTTGAAATGTAGTTAATCACTCCACCATAAACATTAAGATACAAGTATAAAAAGAACATGAACATTTGTTCCGAAAAAAGGTCTCCCGACATCGTAGTTGTGATACATTAATATTGATGTCAGAACACCGTAAGGCAGGTTATAGATCCTGAAGGGCATTGGTAATGCATTCTGTTGTCACCCAAGGCAACATCCTGTTGTGGAATCGCATTCCATAAATTACCTTGAAATATGATTAAGTTTACATGATTAAAGGTAATGCAAAGTTTTGGGGAATTTTGAAAATTGGATTGATAGTACTTCTTTAAAATGTTGATATATTTGGATGCCCCTGTGGATGTATTATAAGCACTAGAAAATTTAGCCCCTAAAACACTTCTGTTTTCGAGAAATTGAATTTAAACAAATTAAAATATTTAAAGTAGCGCCTTAGGCCATTCAATGGAAGCTGCGACCATGAAAATCTCCGAATATGCAGTTCTGATATACAATTTCCAAAGGGGAATAACAAATCGGTCGATTGTAGTAAAAAAAAAAAAAAAGATTGTTTTAGAGCTAAAGTAATATCAGTCTTGAGAGGGCGCTATACAATATAAAGAGTTATATTTCATCACTTGAAACTCTATCTCAACTGCGACAATGATCATTGAATATTGTAAAATCGGATATGCTTCTAATATGTTCATTTGAACCAAATTCATGACCCCATACCAAAACTTTGTAATACCTTTAAGTCTCCATACAGACAGATATATATATATATATATATATATATATATATACATAAATAACACATTAAAACAATCACTGAAGGCCATACTGGGTAATTAATTGTTCAGGAATGCCTTTATATTTCCTGGTATCTTTTTCTAGCTCATAGGTTGATTGCAACACTTTTTCAAAACATCTTTGTTATATGGCTTTCTACTGCGCTCTTGCAGTGCCAGGCTTTTATGTTCTCCTCCCAGTTGGTTCTCGGCTTCTCTTTTGGTCTAGAACTAGACCAGGGCCCCATTCTACAAAACCTTTTTTCAATGACAAATTACAAAAATCAGTGACAAATCTGCTGGTAACCAATAAGAAGCAAGGATTTGACTGGCTTTAAAAAAAAACTGTCATTTGACACTGATGACAAGTTTTGTGAAATGGGGCCCAGATTTATACTATACCAGGGGGCAGTTTCACAAAGATCTTAAGTTGAACTTAACAATTATGGAAAGCCGTTAGTGTCTATACAAATATTTTAAAAGGCATAAAATGTCGATTCAAATCATTCATATTTTCTATTATCAAGGAGATTTCATGTTCTTGATGTGGAATTTATAAAAAGTCTAAAATACTTGAATTTTCACTTTTGAAATTTTATTTTAAGGTTACGAATGGCTCTCCATATTTTTTAACTCCAACTTAGAGTTATGTTCGACTTAGGATCTTTGTGAAACACCTCCCCCCAGATCTTCAAATCTGCAGCATGTGGTTTGCAAATACGTTCACATGTACATGTGCTTTCCACTCCTCTCGAACGGTTATCTAGATTAACGATGCAACTAAACTATACATCCTCATTCATCTCTATTAAAATTGTAATGAACACTGTCATTTTAAACATTATCAACCTTGGCAACATGAAGACCGCCCTGGAAGGAAGGTAACATTTTAATTTCCTTTTTTCTGTTCAGGTGAACGCTGGGACTGAACTGGCGCTGAGGTACAACGACATCTCACCGCTAGAGAACCATCACTGCTCGGTGGCTTTCAAGATTCTGGAGAAGGTGAGGTGTTTCACAAAATTTGTCATCAGTGACAAATGACAGTTTTTGTTATAAGCTACTGAAATCCTTGCTTCTGATTGATTATCAACAGACTTGTCACTGATATTTGTCATTTGTCATTGAAAAAAGGCGTTGTGAAATGGGTCCCCGAGCCAAACTTTAAAGACGAATGGCAAAGAAAATGATATTTTGCAGGGTTAACATAGGAAGGGAGTTTGGGTAGAAGGATTGGGAAGATGGAATTAATATAGATAAGTTTGGGAAATGATAGAAAAGATGGTGATTTTAAAAAGGAGCCCAATTGTAGTAATATTCTAAAGATCCTACATGTATCAAAGATGTTCTCATTTAGTACGACCAATGTAAAGAAATCTTCTCTGACAAAGGGCTTTCATGATTTTGGAAAAGTTAAGGATCTGTAAATGCAGTTCTTTTTCAGTTTGAATTCACCATCATTTTTGAAATTATGGAAAATTTGCTTTCCACCAGTGTTAGATTGATACATATCAGTTGCCCACTAAATAGCAACCCCCCCCCCCCCCATCCAATGGTGGTTATTTTAAGATTTTTTACCAGTTTCTCTTGTTCCTTCCTCCTCTTAGCCTCACCACAACATTCTTAACTGTACCCAACGTCTGTAAATTGTTAAAATTGTAGAAAATTTGCTTTCCACCAGCATAAGTTTGACACATATTTGTCGCTTCCTAACGGTGGTCATTGTCAGATGTTTTACCCGCTTCTCTCGTTCGTTTCTTCCTCCTCTTAGCCTCACTGCAACATCTTCAAGAACCTGAGTCCTGAGATCTTCAAGCAGGTACGGGAAGGCATCATTCGGTGTATCCTAGCAACAGACATGGCCAAGCACAACGAGATTCTCAATGGCTTCAAGGACATCATATCAACCTTTGATTTCAGCAATAAAGTGCACAAAGATCTAGTAAGTTCCCTCAGCATTCATTATAATGTTAATCATGATAATCTGTACTCATAAAAACACACTAAAACAACGTCTCGATTCCTTCAAAGATATTTTTCTAAAGCCTCGGTCACAAATGCCATTACGAACTGCTATGAACGTCGTACGAACGATTTTCAGACAATGGAAAAACGAAGATTCCTACGAAATTATCGTTCGTACTTTGTGACCGTAACACTACCTACATGTATGTTTTCAGCAATAATTCGCTCTCATTTAATACATTAAAACAACGTCTCTGTTCCTTCAAAGACATTCTACCAACCTTAATTTCAGCAATAAAGTGCACAAAGATCTAGTAAGTATCTGTAATGATGATCATGCTGATGATATGTTCTTGTATAATGCACTGTCACAAAAAGGTGACATCAAATTATACAATTATATCTTTCTCCACTTCACAATACAACATAGTAACAGTATTAATACAAAACAAAATAATACAATTCCTTTGATCAACCATTTGTAGGTTTTAATCAGAAAATCACCCCTTCATAAGCGAGCCCCCTGCTCATGCGCATAATTAACATTGACATACTTGAATATGTATAAGGTTCTTAACATGCACGAAAAACAACATCTCTGCTCCTTCAAATGTATTCTACCAACCTCGGAATTTGGCAATAAAAAGTACAAGGATCTAGTAAGATCTAAGCTGTCATGATAATTATAATTGTGATAATCTTAATAATAATAATGATATGCCTATGCCGTATAGCGCATGTCACAAATATGTCCCTATGCGCCGTGATCGAGAGAAGGAAAGAAAATTAGAATAGAGAAAAGTGAGATATGTTCAGCATACTTCCTTAAGTTACATTTATACATCTTATAAAACAGAGCTCAGTGAATGTACACAGGACCTTTTTGTGAGCAGTTGCCATTCATGTACATGTAAACAAACCAGGGGAGGTTTTTTGTGGCGGTTTACAGTGTCGCATCTGAACGATCCTGTAATGGTCAACTTGTTTAATGGAACCTCGTGCTATCTCAAAGGCAGATGGCTGTCGTCGCCTAATTGAATTTGATTGTGGACTCTGTGTAAACGGTTGCCAGGCAACGATACGCTGACCAGTGCCATACTGCACAATATCAACACTGCATATCACAGCAATATTGATTAATTATTATTAGGACGGGGGAAATGGTCAACTAGCAATTCATATTAAAGTTATTTATATACACTATTATTTTATTGTTTTAATTGCATTTTTGTTCACCTGTCAGATAAACTTTTATTTTGATAAAAAAACTCATTTCCATAGACTTACAATAGAGGTTTCTTGGCCTTTGTATTCTACAGGTTAAAATTAATAAATGCTTAACAATTTCTTGTAGAAAAGCCATGGAGGATATCTGTTTATAGCAATGCGGCCTAGTTATAACATGGAATTTTATTTGTAATAACGATATTTAAGAAAAGGGTACAAATAGTGAAAGCCTAATCAAACATATACTGAGTACATTTGCTTCAAATTGATTTGCTCTTGTTTTTTCACATCAGGTTGAAGTATTACTACTTGTTTATGTAGACTTAGATCATTGATGCATGATCAAATTCTTAGGTTCTATTTAAGCCTTTTAGGCAAATTTTATTTCGCTCTTGTAGAATAAATCTACATTTTACATACTGGTGTCAATGGTTTAACCTCCTGTGTAACCTTTCACCTTTGGCATTTGACCTTTAGCTGACCAAAATCTGCATCAAGGTAGCGGACATCTCAAACGAGGCGAGGCCGATGGATGTTGCTGAGCCCTGGATTGACTGTTTGCTCCAAGAGTTCTTCAACCAGGTGAGTGTATGTCTTGACTGTTATCTGCATCATTTAAGCAAATAATGGATTGAAAATAAATCAAGTTGTGTAGGTTTTCCTTGTTTTGTTTTTATGATCTTGAATTAACTTGCCAATTTTAATATTCTGTTGAATATCAGCTCCTACTATGCTGGGGGTGGCTGCCCCAGATTGGGAGCATTGAACAGTGTATTTTGAGTAAGAATGGTTACATTTTGCTTCTTGCAACAGACTACTAAAGGTCTAATTTATTGCGAAGTTTTATATTTGGGGAAGACATTTCATGTAAAATGAATCAAGTCAAGATATCACTCTTGAAGTTCCATTTTGAAAATTGTCCAAATCCTGGGTATTGTTTCACGCAAAAAGTACAAGTTTGTCAACATGTCATTAAATCGCATGTTTATTTTAATGTACATGTTCAAATGGGATGTCTGCAAACTTGTACAGGTGTACTTGTGACGATTTTATGAAACGCTGCACTGGATGAAAGTTTGTTGGATGTTAAATACAGGATGTATTTTATATGTTTGATATCAGTGTTTGAATTGTAAAGAAACTATTTCAAATGAAATTGATATCAAAGTGACCTATTTTGTAGATGTGAAGTGGTCTAGTGGATAAGTCGTCGGACTGTCGATCACAGGGTCTGCGCATCGAGTCACGCTACGGCACTAATATCCTTTGGCAAGACATTAATTTACATTTGCCACTCTCCACACAGGTGTTGAATGGGTACCGGTAGAAAGGAATTCCTTGAACGCTGTGAACACCGAAACCGGAAGCCTAGCAGAGCCAGGTGATATTCAGAGCACCTTGAGCATGTTGCATGATGGATATGTGCGCTATATAAATATCTGATATTATAATTATTATTATTTTTGTTTTGCTTCAGAGTGACATGGAGAAGTTGGAGGGGTTACCGGTCGCCCCCTTCATGGACCGAGAGAAGGTCACCAAGCACACCTCCCAGACCGGATTCATCCGGTTCGTTCTCTTACCCCTCTTTGAGTCGTTGGGATTACTCTTCCCAAAGCTGGATGTAAGTTAAAATTTTTACTTAAAGAGAAGGTTGAGTTCTAGGAAAAGGTGAAAAATAATTTGTGAGCGTTATCATTGTTATAATGCATGGAAAGTATGGAAGAACATCAGAGAAAAAATGTTCCCTGAAAAGCATGGCTCTTCAAATGCCGTCATGTTCTAAATATGACAAGTAACAGTTTAAAAATGAGGCCCGATTTTTATGCCACATGTTTGTGAAGTCCCATATACATCTTCCTGTGTAATGTGCTTGTTACTTTTCTAAGACTGGGCCAAATTTCTTATCATTTTGATGACTCCAGAACCTTGCAGTACACACCAATACATCTAGATGATCAAGCTTTACTGATTGATTCTTTCACAATGATATCGCATGACCAGAACTCATCTTTACCTTTAAGGCTTTTCCATACCCCAGTAGGATGGGACTGAGACCAGACAGACTTTAAGAAATTACGATATCCTAAATGGGTTGGACTTGAAGTCGGTTTGGCAGTGCGACTGAGGAAAAGGGACTGGGATACGGATGGTATGAAGGGGGTTTCAAAGAGAGTAGAGAGAGATAGATAGAGATAGAGAGGGAGGGAGGGAGGGAGGGAGGGAGGGAGGGAGGGAGGGAGGGAGGGAGGGAGGGAGGGAGGGAGGGAGGGAGGGAGGGAGGGAGGGAGGGAAGGAAGGAAGGAAGGAAGGAAGAAAGAAAGAAAGAAAGAAAGAAAGAAAGAAAGAAAGAAAGAAAGAAAGAAAGAAAGAAAGAAAGAAGTGGGAGGGAGGGAAAAGGAGAGAGAGAGAGAGAGAATATGAGCTAAATTATGGATATAAAAAACGAAAGAGAGAGAGACTGGAAAGAGAGAAGGGGTAGAAGAGAGAATACATAATATAAGTCATGTACATGTCGATATATATAAACATGCACATTAAAGAGATGGAGAGAGAGCGAGGAAGAGTTATGTCTCATGACTGTACATCTTTGCTTTCACATCTTGTGTACTACGAAACCAGTGTAGCCGTAAACGTCTCACTTGTGCATTTTCCCATCCATATCCCTAGGAACACATAATCGAGCCCGTCAGGACGGCGCTCAAGTACTACTCCGAGATGGCCCAAGCGCTGGAGGAGGAGAAGAAGAGAACAAACGAGAGGAAAGACTCGCTCACCAACGGCAGCAACACCGTCACAAAAAAGAACATTGAAGCCAACTCGACCACGTCTTCATCGTCGAGCTCGCTAAGCCACAATGGGAAGAGGCCCGGCAGTGGGAAAGGGGCTCCTAATAACCCCCACGTGAGCGCAGTCAAGGACAAGAAGTTTGTCTCAAAGTCGCCGTCGCCATCGAGTTCAGCGACCAAGTCGACGACGAAGACCAAATGACGGTGGTGTTTCCTCTGCGGGAGCAAAGACCAATAGACTCACTGCTGCAACGTACACTGCACTCAATCGACGGAACAAACAGGGACTTCACTCTCTCTCTCTCTATCCATTTCTCTTTTGTTATTTCTACGTCTCTCATATAACATGCAAACATGCAATGCATATTCAGCTCTTTTGTGGATTTTTTATGGTATTTTGCAAAAGAGCTCAAGAATTATCTTGCCATTCTCGTGCATTATGGGTATCAGAAATGCTTCATTTATAATGTTTGCATTTTTGGGGTGCATGTGATAATCAACTTCTTGGTTTTCGGTCTGTTTTTCAAGGACACCATAAGGATATCTGTCTATTTCCAAGCAGCCAAAAATAGTCTCTTTAGCCCATACTCTATTGAAGTTGAAACCCCGACATAAAAATCGGGTTTGCCAAAAGAAATTTCATTTGTAAATCGGATTTCAGACTCGTGCGGTTTTTACTGAATTTGCAGAACATGGACCTTTGGGGTTTTCGTATTGCCCATTGGACCGTATTCCACTAAGGTTTCTAAGATAGTTCAGCACATTTTGGGGGCTCATGAAGATGTGGCGGGAATTCAAATTGCAAAATTGTTGGAAAATTATTATTTTACTTCATGGAGGCAGAACTATAATCATAGAATCATGTGTGTGGAGGTGTCGCGGTACATGGTTCGTTCAAGGGTTGAAGGTTTGAATCTCAACCTTGCACAAACATCCTTTGGCATGAAAGTAATCCACTTTTACCACTCTCCTCCCAGGTGTAAATGGGTTCCTGGCAATTGCGGGTGGTAATACGGAATAGCACTGAAGCTGATGAACCTTCCATGGGTAAACAAAATTATGATTATTATCATCAATAGAGCTAGTTGATTCATATGTGTAGGTTTATGAACATAATTACGCTAAATATATCACAATTGTTTATCGATATAAGTCAGATTATAGTTTTAGATGAACTGATATCAATATGTGACCCGGCACCACAAAACCAACAAAAAGTCGCAACCAGCGATTCTCCGTAATCAGCTAAAATGTCAATTTAGGTGAAAAAAATAGATTTTTGTTTTTTTGCATTTTCTGAAAGAGTGGTCTTTTCTGTACCTAGTATCAAAATTTGGAAGTCTAAAACATAGTAGAAGATGTGTTTTAAACGGTTTTTCTAGACCAGTTTTTTTCGCACAGCCTTCGGTCTCTTCCAAAATTTGATCACTTTTCCCGAGCGAAATTATCGTAGTCCGGAAATGGTCGGTCGTTGCTAACGGGTCGTGCTACGCGGGCTGTGATTGGTCCGTTATAGCAATCAGTGCGGCGCGCCATTTTGTTTGTATCCGCTTTCACATCCGAGTTCCAGATTTGCGTTCGTCTTATATTCTCCGTTAACGACTTCGAGTAGCTTGATTGTACATCACATATCCAGAATTTGTTGATCAAGAGTAAGAACATTATTATATTTTATACATTTGAGAGTGACAAGTTGCGAAAAAGTCTACAACGTCTCCTGCCTTTCTTTATTTTTATACCACTTTCTGGCTGGTATTTATGAATTGCTTCCATTAATTATCATCAGGATGGCTACTGGAAATGAAAGAGCAAGTCATAGTAAAAATACTTTGAACCTCCTGTGAGAAAGAAAACAGTATGGGAATTAAGTATAAAGCAAGTTCATAATGTGAGTACAAATAATTGCCCAGATGTATACAAAACAAGATAGGTGACAAGCAGTGTTATGTAAGGGGGAACAAAAAGACTCCGGGTCCACCATGAATAGGCATTGTCTAGTGCAGGTGTCTCGGCACTATGTTGCAGTTCACTTAATCTGTCCAATTACAACTCTATACATTTACAACATAATAACTTTTGAAAGACTTAAGTCCACGCGTTGAAACCTCAGAAACATAATGAACAGACTATGTTTGACCATCAGGCCAAATTTCAGCCTAATCTGAAAATCTCTTCATAGTGGTTGCTATGGCCTTTTGATTCACCCTTCTATTGATTTCCCTGTGGTTTGCTTGCTCCGCATGCTTGAATAGCCCCAAACTTTAAAGCTCTCTTTCTCACAATTTAATACCAGTAACCTCCCTCACCAGCTCTTTTCATTCACTAAATTGAAAGGGTTAGAAAGCTTCAATTTGGACAAGTAATATACCAGTTTAATGAGGAAAACTTCCTCTTTCATAATCAGATGAAATCAGGAAAATAATTTTTTGCGACTTTTTGTTGGTTTTGTGGTGCCGGGTCACATATGAACTATTCCTCTTATGTTCCAGATGCATTTCGTTGTGCCATTACATTTCAACAGGCTCCCAAACCTGATGCTGTGTTAACTCATATCCTGCCATGAGGCTGCATGCACACTTCCATTATAGTGCTTTGTACATGCGAGAGGGCTATCGATTGGCTGCTTAATACATGCGAGCGAGCCACAGCTTAGCTGCTTTATGCATGCATGCTCGCATTCGTAATAGCAGTTACTGTTCATGCTCATTGTACTGTGCTGAGTGCTTCGCACAAGTTATTGATTGCACCATCAGATTATCTCAAAATAAACTTGGCACAGGGGGATTTGTGGCTTGGCACAATGGCAATTAGCCCTGTGACACTGGGCTGTATTCATTATGGCAGGATAAGAGTTAAAAGGTGTTCTAAAGTCGAGTTGAACAAAACAACTTAGACTGTGGCCTAAGTTGTTTAAACTTGACTTGCACTTGGCTTAACCCATAGCTTATGGTAACTGGGTGGTCCCTATATTAAACCAGTTGGCATGAGAGAATGCGGTAGTCGGTGGATTAACTGGTTAGATATCATGCCTTATGCAATGATCTTTTATATTAAAGGTCAAGTCTTCATATCCATGACAGCATGCTAGCCTCTTTTGGCCAGGCAATTTCATAGCACAATTGTAGGGTAGGAGAAGAAAAGTTAATGGTGTTGGTGAAAGTTTGAGAAATATCAGATCAAATGTAAGAAATTTATGAAATATTTGTAGTCTTAGATATCATTACACAAATGATTGTTGTATGGTTTTCTTCGCAAGCTACTCTCCATTTGTCTTCTCTGCAATGTCGTGATAATTATCCCATTTCACGATCGTCGATAAAGGATGGGACAAACAAAAGTAATGCAACGCTTGCATAATTTACTATGTATGCAGTTAAAATATGGACTAGGTTAATTATTATTGTGATGTAAGAACATGTTTACAATGATATATTTCAGACTCTGGTTTGAGAAAAATTTCTTGCTAGATATAAGTTCATTTTTTTCGGTGACATAGCCTCATGAGTAGACCTGTTTTAGCATAACTACTATGCTGTATAAAGAGAGAGTTGGGTTATTCCAGCAATTGTCTAATGCAAACAAATGAAATCATTGTTTTTTCAGCATTTGTTCTTATCGTTGCACTTTGATTTCTGTATATGTTGCTTTAATTTTCTTTTGCTGCTAAATGCATCAATATTACTTGTATCTGTGTGTTTTAATGATTCAGTATGATTGCGATTACAAGCTGCACTTTAGATCTAACCTTCAGATGACCAAAATGGAGTTCCGTAACTTATTACTTTGCTAAATATTTAGGCAAAAATCAGCAAGTAGAAGTAAATATCTTGATTATTGACTTTGTAACTTATTGGAGTCAGAATATTTCTTTGTAAGGCAGGGAAGATGACACAAGAAACCTCTTCTTGTTTGTTTTTAATTCAAGATTTACCCCTAAGCCTCCTTCGGATATGACATATCTGAACAACCTTTAATTCAATTTAGTTTTTAAACTCATTGTTTGCCAGCATATTCATTTCAAATGATTTTTTGTTGTTGAATGGTTTTAGCACTGTTTGGGTTATATTTGTTTGATTGTAATGGTTTTGCCAGAAGTATTATTTTATTTAAATATATTTTTTTGCTTGCATGTATTGCTGGATTAGCTTGCGTTTTGTTTTTCAGATGGTGATTAAAAAATATAGGCAGCAATGTTGATGTGGTAAGGCTAGTTGTTACAAAATGTTGGTATTCTGTTTTTAACAAGCTTGAAAATCGCTGTATGTTGGTTTGGAGCTCCCAGGTGTAGTGGTTTGTTCACTGGACTTCAATTAAGAGGTTTAGGGTTCCGATTCCTGCCTGATGCATAGGTCCATAGGCAAGGCATTTTACGTGGAGTTGTCATTTTTTGCCCGGGTGTAGCGAGTGGGGTACCTTGTAGGGTTTATTCCTTGAGATGCATCGATGATGACTGCTAGAGTTACAGTACTTAAAATGATAGTTTCCTACTCATATGCGCTGAGTTAAGCAGTTTTTAAGAGAAAGAGACAGAGAAAAGACGTAGGTAGAGACGTACAGGGACAGAGCTGATGCAGCTAGTAAAGATAATCATAAGGTTCTAAGAGAACAGAGTCAAGAGGTTTAATAGGGTCTAGATCCCCTGCCTGGTGCATAGGTCCGTAGACGAGGTATTTCACATGTAATCGTCTCTCTTGACCCAGGGGTAGTGAGTGGGTACCTTGTAGGATCTATTCCTTGAGATTCTCTGTGTGCTGATGATGGAGTAATAATTTCTTATGCACCAAGGTCAGCATATTCGATGTAATATGATGAAGAGAAAGAGACAGGATGTAGAGAGAGATATATAGGGACAGAGTTGATGAGGCTAAATAGGAGATAAAAGGAAAACAGATGAAAAATGGTGAGAGTGATTATGTGAATTTCAAACAAAGTAAGAAGAAGAAGAAGATCGATAGGCATCGATCACTTGTGGGGAGGCGAGGCAGTTGAATAGAGCTAAAAGAATTATTTTTTGTCAAAAAACTGTTATATATGAAAGATGAGACTAAAAGAATGTTACTAAATGATACTCAAATTATATGTATATTTTGAAGCTAGAAGCTAAAGCAAAGAAGGCTTTCTCTAATAAGTATTAACAAAAAAATTATCTTTAGATCATACAAAGTACTTGCATATTTTTCATTTCAAAATGATTTGTATCGTGCATAATTAGCAGAGAAAAAATGTGTTTATCTTTTTTGATGTGTGCTTTTTTATATAATCTTGAAATTGTTTACGAGCGTTGCTATGGTATCTTGTAGGTGGACGGGTGCAGGGCGCCCTATCAGATGTGTAAATACATACCAAGGCATTATTTCTTTGAATGCTTAAACCCGAAATAGCTCGGGGTTAAATCCATCAGAAATGATGCATGTCAAACTTTTAGGGTTCTCCTGCTTATTATGGAGATTTTATGAGTAAGATTTCTGCCCTTGCTTTTGGGAAGTCAGTACTGTAACAATGTGTTATGTATTTCTCCGTTTCCACGGCTAACCTCATTATCT